GAAAGGTTATTAGTTAGAAGGTGAGCAAGATACTAACAAAACAGAAAGAAACTGGCTTTAGCATAAGGAAGAAAACATACTAGGAAACAGACCTATGAAAAACAAAAAATAATGCAAGTCTGAGACAAAAAAGGCCTGAACCCTTTTCTTTGCTTGTAGCTGAATCTATGCAATGGGACTTGCAACGCCCTGAGATAAGAAAAAGAAAACAGATGGAAAATATCAGCAATGTCTCGCCCAGAGAGAGGAAAAAAATAAATTAAGACTATCCAGCAGTCTTTTTAGGTAGCCAGTGCTGAGAAAAGGTCATATTTTCATTTTAGTGTAATTTATATTTTTACCAAATGAGCTCCAGACTACTAGACTGTGAATTTAGCAAGATGCAGTCCAATGAAACAGCCACTAATGTCCTACAGGGTACGTTGCTCATAGGATTGATTGACTGTAAAATGTTAAAGCTCTTAATTAAAAGGCATTCCGTTTTCCTAGATTGTGCTGGTGAAAAGATACTTCCAAATCTGACTGGAAAAAGCCCTACTAACTTGAAGTCAGTAGTAGTCATAAAGAAAAGAAAAAGAAAAAACCTGTCCTACCTCAACACACAACATTTGAGTGCCAGTGACAGAAATTCTCTTTTTTTCTTCCATTAACAATTGTACAGAAATAAAAATACTTTACTGGCCTGTCCTCCATCAGTGCTTGCCTTTTCCCACTCTTTTATATAGATGAAGATGGGAGGAGGAGGAATATAATTGAGAAAATTGAACTAGCAGCTGAACCACTGGTCCTATTGACACCCTATGCTGCACTGCTGTGCGCACACCACCTGAATACAGCCAGGTCCCTGGCAAGTAAGAGTTGTTTCTTCCATACAGCATCTTTAATGCCTTTCCATATAATGCATAGCAAAATCATGTCAGTATTGCCATCAAAGCAACATAGGAGCCCTGTATTCACAACTTTGATGCCATGATAGTAAAGATGAAGAAAAAAGTAGAATCCCACAAGTAATATCACACTAACTTCATTCAAAATGTGATCTCTATTTAAGTCTTAAAACTCCAGCAAGCCTAGAAAGCTCCAGGTATCACCGTCTTCCAAACTTCCAATTTCCCAGTATATACTGACTATGAGGAACACATAGCAAAATAACGATGAGAATTTGGTTGATGGTACTGTTTTTGACAGAAGTAAAAAAAATTAGTCCTAAGCTTAGATAATGCAACTATACTTGAATAAACTCGTCCTCCATTACTTTGTATTTCCTTCAAAACTTTGTGATACATTAGGGGAAAAGGAGTCAACTGAAAACATGAAACCTTTCCCAGTCTTTTCACAAAATATTGCCCTGTTCTAACAATGCAAACAGAGGTATTACTCAGAACTTTTAAGCTGCAGAATAACTATGTATACTAACAGAGTAAAAATAAACTTTGGGGTCAGCAGTGCAAATCAAGCTTATAAAGAAAAAAAAAACTTAACCCCAACTAAAGTAATTTATTCAATTCTTTTTCTTAATTGTGTTCCTTGGTGATTGGCTCTCAAGTTGATTGTCTCTCAAGCTGAGCACACATCTCAGCTTTTCAAGTATACTAACTATGCTAAATATCTTTTCCCTACCAGCCTTCGCCTTTCAAAAATTCTTTGGTCATAGAGTAAAAGTAATTAAGTGTATGCCAAGCAATATCTGTATCTGGAATGTTATAGATCATTAGCAGCAACTGCTATAGAAATTAGAAATACCTTCGTTGCCACTGTGACCAGCTATATGATTTCCAAAGAATTACTTAGCTTCAAGCCTGACTGTGTAATAGAAGTTTAAGATGAAACCTGACTATTTTCAAGTGCTAGCCAGTAAGCACTGGGTTTCGTAGTCAGCATTCCATGTACTTCAAAATACAAAGACAGACATGAATACAGCAACAAATTCTAGCCTAATGAAGTAAGAAATTGAGGCACCAGTTTCCATTAGGAGGCAACAAAGGGAATACTACACTGGAAAAGAAAGATTTTGTGTACAGATAAAGAAAGCGAGTACTCTGTGCTGGTTTCATACTTCTGAAAATGCTTGCTGCTTTTCTAGCGAAGTACTAAAACATGTGGATTCACATCAGAAATTACAAGGATATGGAAAATGCAAACCTAACAGATTTTGATCATGGATTTAGGAATGAAAGCTTTATGAAGAGCATGTTTTACCATTTATCATACAACAAACACAGAGCAAAGATAACAACATCTGAACAAGCAACATGCAAGATGCACTTGTCGAAAAGGTTTCCAGTAAGCAGGCTGAAAGTTAGCAACTGATTAAAAGCAAAATCTAGTTAGGCAAGAATGCTGATTCTTGCAGTAGGTATTATTACTGCCAGCCAAAGCAGCACTCTAAATACCTCCCAGAATTTACAAAGACTGAGAGAAGAAGAAATTGTGTTATTGAAGTGACTCTCTGAGTCACAAATCCCCCAATTTTGTAAGCTCCAAAAACTGTGCATGTGACTTTAGGCCATGACAAAAAAAAAAAGGTCTGCTCAACAAAGCAGAAGGGTTAAGACGCACAAAACCATGAAATAACTCTACAGTCAAGACACTTAGCTCAGTAAATAGAAAGAGGAGCAAATAATCTGATTTGTCTAGATCTGATGATACACAGAAGCTAACTGTCAGGGTTTTTTTCTCTTTTCTCCCCCCCCCCCCCGATCTTTCAAATTCAGGAGAATAAAAGATTCTATTGACATTACAATATTTCATAATCTGGCATAGCGCTAAGCATATGTATTGAAAATACATATGCAGTTCCACCAATACTGATTTCCTACTTCATAACTGGAGATGAAGTATATAATTTTTACTTATTAAGATACCAGTGTTTAAAAACACCAGCATGATTTCAAACTAAAAATAAAACTAAACTAAGAGCTGAGGTCTCTAAAACTCAGAAAATTCTTGGGTTATAGAGTTGAAGTATTTTCTCAAGTTCTGTGATGCTGATCTTGCGCTTCAGAGAACATAAATGCTGCATAGCTGGATTAAGAAGAGAGATGGACACCCATCTCTAGAAGTTTCAATTATACCTTCAGACAGAAAGCCTATGAAACATTCATAAATCCATGTGAATCTGTTTCATGTCATCCATGAAATCCATGTCATCATTTCCTCTTCTTCCAGTTTCCCAAGTGCATCTCTCCACCAAACCATCCAGGGCTACACCTAACCTACAGCTTCATATACTACTAATTAAGATGGAATCTCCTTCCTGCACCATTCTTTCAAAAGCTGATAGTTTCAACACAAATGAAACTTTCTAGACTCACAATCAAATGGATTAAAAGCAGACTGCATTTTTGGAGCTGATTTAAGTAGAATGACTAGCTTTAACATTTTCTGTATTTAAATATTTGTTCTTAGTCTGTCAGAGTTTGTTCTATGACTGTTCCCAGAGGTTCCAATTAAAACTGATTTCTTAAGGTACCAGGTGTTGCTTCCATGAATGTTTGTAGAATTCCTGCCTGAAAGAGCCTACTTTATAGAAGTGGCTTTTCAAAAGTTCTCAAACAATGTCTCTACCTTAAAGTGATATTAAAACTTCCATAAACCTAATGGGAGCAAAGATAGATTAATAAAGAGTACTTCTGAAAAATTTCACTTACCACTGTTCTGTATTATAATCACTCAAATTTCAGAGTTTACCATATTGAAAGAAGAGAGGTTGCAGTATCAGGGAAAGATGTGGTGTTACCAAGGGAGATACTCTGGCAGAATTTGCTTTTTTTTTTTTCACTTACCACCCCATATTCTCATTAAAAACAAAAACAAAAACAAAACAAAAACAAACAAACAAAAAAAAAACCACACTATTTCATTTGTATTCTGAATGTGCCAGGAGTCTGAAGCAGCTATGCCTTAACCATCTGAAGACCAAATTTATCTGAAGCAATTTAATATGTAGGATTGCACTTGTACTGTACCTAGAGACTTTGAGGCATTGATAGCACATGGTAAACACTGACCTGGAGACAGAATGCTGCAAAGTACTTTGCAGAAGTACAATTAACTTGAAATTATTTCAGAGAGGCTCTTGAACATTTCAGAGTCTGATGCTTCTATAGAGCTTAAATAAAATAAGTGAGGTATTCCTTCTTGGAAGAGGCAGATGGGGTGAAGAGAAGGCAGAGGGCTTAAGAGGAGAGCCAAGTTCAAGCTCCACTCCACTATTTATCAACCTTTATGTGCAAGCCAAGAACTAGCCTGTGGCAAATGAAAAGCAGATTTGCGGTTGTACAGAAGAGCTCAGTCAAAACTGGGCTCTTCTAGGCAAAGGGTTGCACGTATGTGTGCAGTATCTAGCTCACTCTTGCCACAGAAAGCTGAACAACATAACCTCAATAATAACCTGTGAAATGTATTGCTGTGTTTAATACAAGAAAATGTATTACCCAAACCAAGGAATTCCAGTCTCTATGCTACATAATCTGATTGCTTTTGCTGTTTGTTTCATCTATGGACAAGCAGAAGTGAAAATTCACTGAATACATATTGATAATAAATTAAGAAATCACAAGTGTTTGGTCAAACAAGAAGGCAAACTCTCAGCCCTGACTATTGCCCTTTTCTTCATTTCCGTGCTGATGAACATCACAGGCACAAAACTATGACCATTTTTCCCAGGGGATGGGGACAAGAGGAAGGGCAGAAGCAAAGAGCTCATGACCATGTATTTACAAACTTTCACACAGTTCAGAAAGTCTGGAAAATAAGATAAGAATGCTCCATATAATAACTCATATTGCAGTGTAAACCCAACAATGTTTTCACCTCTTGCTGACCTGCTGCCCTTCTCCCTGATCTATATAAAAAGGTAATGCTTACACAAATGTTAAGGGGCTTTGCTCTGTGTGTGTCTGAAATTAATTCTTTAATAAATAGGAAAACTGGATTCTACCCCTTCCCTCTTTAAAAAAAGAAACCAAACCCATACATAATTTAACAAAGTTACTAACCTTTTTCGTTGTGTGGATTTCTTTTTTCTAAAATAAAAGAGAAAGGAAACAACAATCAAGAGAAAGAATAATTCCCAATTTTCCCTTGCATACAAATCTATTTCAATATATTTGAATGAGTAAGTTGCCATATTAAAAGCGAAAAAAGAGAAACATTTTCCCACATCGTATCTCTGGAGTACCTGGACTGCTGAAAAACATCTTTCAACAGCTTACTTGCCTACAACCTTGCTGTTTGTAGTGGTTACATTTACAGAAACAGAAGTATACATCTTTCTATTTCTATATTGTGGCTGGAAATCCATTATAAAAAGATATGCTAAAAATACTCCATTAACATTAAAAAACGATGACATTGAGAAGTTTTGAGTTGCTACTCAAACAGAACTGGTTATTTCAATGCTACTTGTTGAAAGAACCACAGTTAAGAACTAAAAGACAGAGTATATTTGTCTTTTCCAATAAAATTGTCTTTAAAACAATACTTAGTTTTGTTTCAACATGCAGTAGCTTTCTAAGTTACTCAAACACTTTAAAAGTCTTAAAATAAACAATCTAAGTGAAGCCTTGAAATTTTTTTAAAAGTAAGCTACCCCCCACTGCAAATCACACAAATATTTTGGTATCATTTTGTATTCTTACAACAGGAAAAACGATGACCAGAGGTAATGGACTCCAGGAGAATTACAGAATAGAAACCAAGAACTTTTCTTCTTGTTAAAAACAACCAACAACAACAACACAGTAAAACCAAAATAAAAGATGCTTTGCTTAATGCCTGGTCTGCTGGCTGTGAAGTTTTGGGTATTCTATTTACCTCAGAATATGAAGGGAGGGCTATTTTTATATCTCATTATTAGAAAATCCACATTTCTGAGGTACATGAACGTAAGTTGTTTATAGCGCTAACATGAACATAACAGTGGTACTGAGTCAAATCAAAGACCTAGTAGCTTGTTTCTGACTGTGGTCAGTAGGGAAAGAGTACAAGGGCAGACTTGCACTTTCTCCAGTATACCCTTTCCGGTGATCCATGGCTTTGGAAAACAACCAGAGAAATACATGCAAAATTTTTCTGAACAGCCTTTAACAATCTTTATTTCCCATGTGTTTGTTCAATGATGCAATGCTGAACCCAAGATCTGAAAACTACAAGTTGAAATTTATTTTTGGCTAAAGAAAAAAATATCTGAAATAGCTTTAAAGTTTAAAAGAAAAAAAATCTGAACTTTCTAATATTGCATCTGTTCCCCCAAGAGAAATTAAAAATCATGAACTATGACAGTAATTTAATTACAATTAAAAATGATTTTATAATTAAAAAAAATAGAAAGGCATAGCTAGAGGATGAAAAGAGGAAAAGGTCAATAACAACTCCTAACATTTTACAGAGTAGCAATGACCTTGCAATAAGAAAACTATACGCAACAATTAGAATTAGCTTACTGATAAGCTAGCGATGATTTAATATTCAAGGACTGTAAGTTAAAAAGAAATAGAACAAGACGTGTTCTATACCAACTTTTAATTTTTTTCAGCCATTTTTCATTTTTAACCATATTTCAGAGATTATCAAAATAAATCCTACAAAACTCCAAAATACAATTCAGACTTATGCACTTTGAAACCCACATCATCCATATAGGAGCTGTACTGACAACAGAGCTCTGTAGTTCACAGGTGCTCCAGAACTCCATAAGCCTCAAGAACAATGTTTGATTGTCACATTTACACAAAAAGTTCTTGATTAGCAAATAAACTAGGCACCAAAGTGAGGAAAATCTGATTACACATGCACACTGAAGAAAGAAAAACCCATGCGCAAATCCCAAAGGAGATGCCAACAATGTGGTTTCGATAATCTAACAAAAGCACAAAAACCTTTTACTGCACTTACCAGCAAAGCATTTGGAACAGAGATTCATAGTCTTGCTGGACCTGGGGCAAAAATAAAAAAAAAAAAAAGTAGAGCTAAAAAATTCATTATTATTCTAATCAACACAGGGAAGATTTGGGGGGAATGAAGCAAGAATATATAGGGTATGAACTTAATAGGAATCAAAGACAACTGGCTAGCAGTGGCTGGACTAGGAACAGGGTCAGGGGAAGAGACCTCATATGGCAATCTCCTTCCAGTTTAAAGAGCTTCCACAATACGACTTTCACACATTTACTCATATTTTTAAATAAGCTTACTTTACCATTCAATGTGTAATGTTAAACACTCATCATTCAAACCTTTCTACTGCAATATGATAATAATGATAGACAGGAAGAGCCAATACATTCCACTTGAATATTAGACTCCCCTTGGCAACAGTTCTACAGTCCTGACAAATCCTGAATACAGTACAGCAATGGAGAGATTGAATTCTTGCACTTATAAGGACACAGACATATGTGCTTTTGGAAGTCTAACTGGTATGGCTTAAGAAGTTATTACCTCAAGCTGTTCATTACTACCTTCAGCCACATCCAGAAGTGATTTAAAATAACCTGGCTGACTCTGCACTGACATGGACTATGATAGTTCATACGACCCATTAGTGAGCTTTGAGGGCAGCAGCCTTCAGCTGAGCGAAAAACAGCTGGAGAATGACAGCAATCTCTTAAGCCTCCCAGATGTCTCCAAAGTGTTTGTGCAATTATGTCACAAGTGCTCACCCTCATAAAGTCAGTCAGCTCACAAGAAGAAAAATTTTTAAAAAGTAAAGCTATAGACCTCTCCAGGGCTACCATGAAACTACCCAAAGCAATATAACGTGGGAGAAAAAATTTCTCCCAGTTTACAAGGACTTCTAACATCCCAACGTCTCCTTTACAAAGTGAACTGAAGAATACTCTCAAGAGCTCTCTAAGGGTTGAAATGTCTTTAGGTAAGAGCAACCCAGCTTCTGCACACACTGCCCAGTATTTGATTTGTTCAGCATTCCTGACTCAGATCTGCCATGGCATATAAGCATTAACATCATCCTGAGCAGGTCTGAAAGTACATACTGACAGGCAAGGTTGAACCAAAACTGGGTCTATACCTCCTCAGGGCAACCTGTAGCTGGAACATATTATTTAGCTAAATTAATTGCATATTTATCTTTACAAATATGCATATATAAAACCAACCGAAACTACCAAACCAGTTGTTTTCAATGTCCAGGCAAACACAGACAGAATTTTGAGACCTGCATCTTGCAAGATATAAATTATAAAAAACAAACTGCTTACTACCTCAAGACAAAAACATTGTCAATTTTTTCAAAGCAATTTTATCAGAAATGAACACAACTGTCAGAATCATAGAATTCACACCCCCCACACACCCACACACAGCCCTGAGTTTGCAAACGGATTTTGAATGACTTTCCAGTAACAAAGTAAATCCAGACCTGGTTAATCATATCTCAGTTTTAGTCACATCAAAACATTACAGATGCTTTTCAATTCATGCACATTTGAAAGCTGCTTTACATCAGGCTCAAGAATTCTAGAAGAACACAGTTCACTGCAGATATGAGACATAAGCACTTGTCAGCTATAGCAAGAACCACAGACACATGAAAGCTAGTTTTAAATGCAAACAGTATGTGCACAGGAGAAAAGTTAATTTCCAGGAAAAGAAAAGCAGAACAGCATTTGTAGCCATACAAATACATCATCAAATTGGTATATATCCAAAGATTCAATATCTATGTTGACAGTCTGCACAGATTATCTACCTTCAGAAGAACTGCAATTAAAAACAGCATGGTGAGTCAACACCTACAGCATTAGTGTGCTGCAGTTCAGTACTCACTGCTTATGGGTTAGACCTTCTGGAGCAGCTCAATATGCCAGGCAGGAGCTTCTCTGCAAAGCCATTAAACCCCAGGGGCAGCAAAGAAAAAGAAAGGCAGAGTTCAGATGGTTCATACTGATGACATTGGAACGGGCAATGACAAATGTTTTCACTGGTATAATCAACCATCTCAGCTGTTAAATATCAATCCAAAGTCTTATATAATATTTACTTATCAGCACATCAACAATGGAAAACACACACAACATACAGCTATGTGCAAAAAAAAAAAAAAAAACAGACTGCCATTTACTCATAACACCAAAACCCCCCAAATTTTCTGAAAGGACAGTGCTGTTGGACTGGTGAGCTAATAACATCAGTTCACTGTTCCTTTCAAGGCAACTCAAGTCAGTCTGAGGCTGCTACTTAAGATGAGAATCTAAACTTTGAGTGGGTTTTTTCCTGTCTTTTACAGTCATTTATGTCACTGTAGATCTATCAACATTACACTAGAACTAAGAAAATGGCATTTTTTATTAGACACAGTAACACTGTGGATCAACAATCAGCCCCCCTTTGAAAGTGCAATATTTAAGTAGAGCAAAAGCCTTGCAAGGAAAATGCATTAAGCAGTTTACATACATGAGACTTACTAGGTATTATCTGAAGTCATGTCAGTATCTGCCAAGTAAAATGTATGTTTTACAGCCTTTTGTTACACTGCAAATCCTTCCTCTCATCACCAAGATTTCCTCTTTGCAGCAGGCAAGGGCTCTCTCATCAGTTAAAACTGAGCAAGCCTGCACATTGCTGATTTCTCTGTGAAGTAAATCTCGTTAACCACATCACTGTTTTACAGTAACTATTTCCTAGTGACCCCAGCATTCACCAGAAGCTTATACTGCCAGGCAGAACACCTAAAAAACGTGGACACACTAAGGTAGTTCCAAGATCTCCCTCACAAAAGTCAGCTTTATGCTTAACAGTACCTAAACTAGAACTACTGCAATATACACTTTATATGTACGATATCCCTAGAAAGCCAGCTTTATACTGACAATTTACAACCTCCACTTGTACATAATTTAAGCTGATATTCAGGAAGACATTCATATTTATGGATAAATCAAGTCAAACAGAATGGTATTATCTCCAAGACAGAACATAAAGTTAAACCCTATTTGAAGGTACTTCTATCTGTCAAAAAGAAACCATTTAACTAAAGGGTGACACAAAATTATTATGGAGATTGGAAATCACAAGGTGAAGCAAGCTCGGAAGGTCAGGTGGCAGAGCAAGTCAGAGGCAGAATATAGTTCAAGCCAGCTGGAAAACCCCAGAGGCTACAGAACGACTGCATGCAACAGTTCCACAGAGCTCTGTGTCTGAAACAAGCATAGGTATTAAATATGCTTCCAGTGCCACAGAAAAAAAAAAGCCAAAAAAAAACCACAAACAACAAAACAAACATTCCTTTAACAACACAGCCATGGAAGTAGCAGCAATGACACTGCAATTTTGAAAGAGGGCAAAGTTTACAGAAATGGGAAATCCTGTAAATTGCAACATATTTATACTTTAAGCAATAAATAAATCACATGTAATGATAAAAATAAAAAACACATTTGAGGCTATACAAACCATCTTCCCTTACTTACACTGTGGTCTCTACAAACCCCCATAGCAAAAGAAGCTATTTGAGCCTTCAGACAGATTCATACACACACACCAGTGTCAGGTCCTGACTTCAGTGAGATCGACATCTGCATCTCCAGTTAAAGGTGAATAATGTAAAGTGACAGCCAGAAAGAGGCATTCAATATCAAAAATAACATACTTCAAATTCTATGTACTTATAAGTAACTACGTAATAAAACGGTAGAGACTACTTCCCCAATTTCACTTTCATATAGTACTTTCAGTACATTCTTAAAAATGGTGCCTTAACTACTCCACTAAAAGCACTCCAAGCTATTTACTCAAATTTATGCCCTACACTACTAATTACTTCTTTTCTTTCCTTGCCATTTGGCAGTATACCATTGTGAGGTACCATCCAAATCAATGCACATTCCACTCTGCCTTCATTGGAAGTTTTTTTTTTTACTTCTCCCTCTCCCAGTAAATGATTTTATCAATACAAAACCACATCTAAGCATGAAGTTTAAATTCTAGCGATAAATGTCAAAGACAAGATTGTTAGACGTACAGCAGTTTACCAGAATGGCCAGAATACAATAAAAAAACAACCCACCAAACCAAAACACAAGACAATCTCAATCTGAGGGTTCAAGAACAAATTCCATGTGGAAATTTGGCACATTCAAAGAAAGTTAAAAAGAAATATACAGGAATTTGTCTGATCTCAGGACTCTCAGCACTCAGTCTCCCTAATGAACACAATTTTCTGCCAAGAAACTTAAGATAGGCACACCTGATATATGCTGAAGGTTTTGTAACAAAATCCCTTTTCCAAAACATTTTCCAGCATACTCTCAGGCACTTCCTAGCTTCCTCAACCCATATTTAAGGGGAAAGAAAAAAAAAAAAAGCAAACCAGAAACACTAGAAACTAACACTAGCTTAACTCCACACAAGTGCAAAAGGCCAACAGAAATGCTCAATTTCATCTATACTAGGATTTTATTTGTATGTTTCCCACACTTTTTAATAGTGAACTAGAATTACTAATGTAGATGCTCACCAAGAATCGTGCAACCGCACCAGACAAAAACCTAATACAGGTACATATCCTCAGTGCTTGAAAAACAACACCAGAATAACAGTTATTCTTGAAAACAATTTTTGTTCTGTTGCCTTTTGAGGATGGAAGAATAAGGAGTTTGGAGAAAAAATGCTTTTATATAGAATGCGTGCATTACATATTTAAAGATGTTTAAGCCACAGATGCTAATTAAGTATGCCTGCAAAATCCCAGCTTCTGCATTTCTATTGGGAACAAGGTTTTCCAGCATATCTAGTAATAATTCTTTATGATTCAGAAGTTCCCATGACTTGGTAGCATGAAAATGTACCTGCTTCAGTGGCACTATAATTGCACTGCTGATTAAACACACTATGTTAAATGCTTCTTGGTCCCCTTCCAGTACAGCAATTACAGGGGGATCACAGTGTCACCGCATACAAATAGATCTTCACCCCT